CTGAAGAGTTATATCTGTACTGTGAGATCCGGGACACATAGCTAGGTAGAAGTACTATAGGTGGGTAAGTGACAAGTGATTCATTAAGTTTGGGATGCATAAAGTGAGCGGCGCGACAGCGCCGCCGAAAGAAAAATGATTTTGACTTCCAGGTTGCTTAATGTCTTGCGATTCACATGAGCAGTGGGATACACATAGAGGTGTCCATTCAAACTTGAAATACCACCAGGTTTTGCCTTAAGCTATCCAGAGAGTTAATACGGCGCGCAGCGCTGCGAAGCAAAATTCATGTGCTGTGGAAACCGAAGAAACTAGCCTCGAGGGATATTTCAAGCGAGGGAGATCCCTGAATATAGCACTAGTATACCCTTTCAATAATATACCCCTTCTGAAGCTCACGGGGCACGAACGGAGTGTCTTTGCCTTCTCTTTCTCTCTCGCCTTCGATTTAATTTCTTTAATTTCTTTAATTGATCTAAAAGTCCACACCTATAGTACATAAGCCAATCAGCCACCGTGACATGCAGGAGAACCGTGGGAACAACATACCCCTCTCAGCGATTTTCCACCCCTTCACTTTCTCCACCCATTCCGACCAAATTCCCAGCCCTCCAGCCATCCCACCCCAAACAACATGGCCCCCTCACGCACGCGCGACCCCGGTCCCTCCACGCAGCCCAAACCCAAGAAAGCGCGCCGCCCGAAGGCGTACCACGGGCAGGACGAGCCGACCGGCGTGCCCGGCGTGCAGAAGCTCAAGGCGCAGCTGCGGTCCGTGCGGAGGCTGCTCGCCAAGGTGCGTGTGTGTCCCATAATTCTGGCGTGTAGTGGCTGAGGGAGAGGCAGGATAACTTGGCGGCGGACGTGCGCGTCGAGACGGAGCGGCGTTTGAGAGCGTTGGAGGCGGATCTGGAGGCGGCGGAGCGCGCACGGAAGGAGCGTGCGCTTGCGGTGCGGTATCATAAGGTCAAGTTCTTCGGTGCGTGTCCACGTTTCCCCTGTCTCTGCGGTACTCCAACCGCGGTGCGATTATAGAGAGGCAGAAAGTCGTGCGGAAGATCGCGCAGACGAAGAAGAAGCTGGCGCGGGATGGGCTGCGCGGGTCGGAGAGAAAAGAGCTCGAGGGCGCGTTGGCTGAGCTCAGAGTGGATTTGAATTACATTTTGGTACGTGACACACTGCTATCCCCGTCTAATCTCATGGACTCATGCGCATATACGCTGCCCCGCACTCGGCCTAGCACTACCCAAGACTCGAGAAATACATCTCCCTCTTCCCGCCGGAAGTCCGGCTCGGGGAAGTGCCGCCGCCCGAGCAGGCGAAGGAGAAGGCGAAGACGGATAAACGGCGCGCGGAGCTGCGGGCACGGATACGCAGGGAGATGGAGGCAGGCGAGCTGGGCGGGGAGCCGGAGCTGGAGAAGGGTGGGAGAGCTAGGAGCGATCACGAGAGATCGCGGGGTGAGGGGCGGAAGGGCGGAGAGAAGAGGGGGAGGGCGGAGAAGAAGGGGATGGAAGATGATTTCTTTGCGGGTGATGAGGAGACGGATGGAGGGGGAGGGGACAGCGGGTCAGAGTTTGAATGAAGGACGGAGGGGACAGCGGGTCAGAGTCTGAATGAAGGACGGAGGCGTGGCCGCGCGAGTACTGTGGGTCTCCTCGCCTCGATCGTCGACCTTGGTCTGCCTCGCCTAATGGCATTCCCTGGTCACTATGCAGATGTTTTGCATGCCAAGCACCCTTACTCTCAGCATCTGATGCCGTTCCATTGCCAGTCAGGTGACGCACGACCCCTGTACTAACGATTCCGAATTTTAATAGATTGACCCGCTCTCCGTCCGTGGCGCAGGTCATTTGCAAGTCGGCGATAAATTTTCTGGGCGGGTAGCGGTTAGATTCTCACTGTGCTGGCCTAGGAAAGAAGTGTGAGATGAGGGTCCGCAGTCCTGCTGACTGGCACTAGCCTCTATCTAGAACGTGCATTCCGAATACGCATAACCTTGTCCTTGGGCTATTCCAGCAACTGTCACCTCAAGCAGTATCATTAGTCCCACGTAACTGTCAATCAGGGCCATTTCACACAAGCTGCACCGGTCATCTCGGCGAGTTATGAAAAGCCTGATTCAGAGATACCCCAGCCGCAAGACATAGGGCTGAATCCACTGCAGTCCGACATATGCATGCAGCAAACAAAGCAAGTGCGAACCGGCTAAAGACAAGCTTAGCGTCGGTAGCAGTGCACGATCAGAGCGAGCCTGCAAGAAAAGATGAGCCGCCGATGCAGAACAGCCAGCCCCCGACGCTGTTGCCAAATTGGGCTCTGGGGAACGCCGAGCTAATCCATCCTCCATTCCTTGCCTTCTGTCCTCCATCTAAGCTGGCTTTCTGCGTCTCTTGCTTTCTTGGACCGAATGAGCAGCGGGTCGCCGACCGCCTACCTGCTATGGGCTATCCTTGCCGTCCTGGTGCGTGCCTTACCACCCGAGAGAGAGAGTGACTGGGAGCGGTCGGTGGCTGACATGATTTGGGTGGGCGGCTACCTTAGTTCCAGATCTTCCTCGTCGTGCACCTGTGGTGCTACGACCGCTTCAAATGCGTGCTGTGGAACTCGGGAAGGCAGCCGGGCGCGTTCAAGCGCGTCATGACGGTGCGTTTGTCCTGCTGTGCCGCTCGCTGCAGGCCCTGACCCCGAGATTGGGTGGGAATGTGTGTGCGTAGTATTCGTACCTGGGGACGATACCCGCCCTCGTGTTCTTTGGCGTCGCGATGACGCAGCTCAAGTTTGCGGAAGGTGCGTGCTTGTGTTTGGTGGCTGGAGACGGGGTGCTGAAAGGCGCGTAGGGTATGTGTTGTATGGAGATGGTACGTGGGCGATCGAGGGTTTGTCCGTCCGGGAGTTTATTGCCTGCGCAGAAATTATACCGAGACCGTACGAGATGTGGAGACCCCAGCATCGACATTGGGTGCTGCCGCTGTTCTTCGTGTTCAGCGGGGCATGGGCGTTTGAGCTGTGCGTCCCCACCTCACTCTACATCATGTATCTGATTATCCCGTGATCTACCGCATCGCAGAGTGACGCATCTCGAAGGTAGCGAACTGCTTGCATCTCTGACGGGTCTGGGTATTAACGTAGTGGCACAGAGCTCACGTTCTGGCTCTTCCTCCTCCACCAAGGCCCGAGCAGACGAGACTGGTTCACCAGCGGCGAGTACCGGCTCTGGTACACCGGTACGTCTGCCCCCATCCGTCCCTTCTTCCCACCCACCTCTCACCCTTGAACCGAATCAGGCAGCGTCGTCTCCGTCATCGGGATGCCGCTCACCACGCTCGTGACCCGGCGCGATCTGGAGATGGTTCGTCTCGGCCCCGTATCATCTACAATGGCGTAAATAACTTACGGTGGTGCCCTGTGGTAGTGCCAGATATGGATATTCCTCGTCGGCTCGTCCGCGAGCACCGCGACGACGCTCATGTTCCTCTATGTGCTGTACATGTTCCCCGGGTTCCTGCGCTACGTCAAGGCGGAGGGCGCCGAGGTCGAGGTCGTCGTGCGCCTCGCGACGTTCTACCAGCTCAATGTGCGTGCCTCGTGTTGTGTTTGTTGTGTGTTGTGGTGTGGTGTGTTGACGGGGCTGGGTGCTAGCTGATACGCGTGTGCTTCCGGTTCTTGTTCACGCTGCCGCTCCTTATATTGGCGATTGATGGCGTGCAGGGGCGCCATCCGATACTCGCGAACGCGTGAGTCCTTATCGTGGTGTCGGCTTTTGCTAGGCTGATTGTAGCGTCTGTAAAGGTTCGGGACAGGTAACATGCCATCCACGTCCATGTGGCAGAGTACTAATCGCAATCGTAGACTTCCTACTGATGCTGGGCGCGATTGGGTGCTTCGTCTCCTCCGCAATCACCCTCCTCGTACGTACACCCTCTCCCCCCTCCCTCCTCCCTCAGTGCCCTCACCCCCCACCCCCCCCACCCCACCAGATATTCTTCCCCCGCTCCCTCGTGAAAGAGACCGACTACCTCCCCGAGCGCCCCCCGACAATAATCGCCACCTCGCCCAAGGCGCCCGCGGCGCCCGTGTACGAGAGCGCCGCGCCGTCAACGACGGGGAGCTTCTTCCCGTTCCCGCAGCCCGCGCCGTACAGTCCCGGGTCGGAGATCATGCTCGACGCGCACGCGCACGTGCACCACTCCGCCAGCGCCAACGGCAATGCGTACCCGCAGACTGTGAGCGTGTACCGCCCGCGGACGCGCGGCGGGGACAAGGACGGCGGGGTGGGCGTGGAGGTGCACAGCCTGGACGGCGCGATCCAGGAGGAGGCCGCCGTCAGCCCGCCGCCGCCGTCCTACCGCCGGCACTCGAGCACCGTGCTCGCGGTCGTCCGGGCGGGGGCCGTGGGTGTGGCGGAGGAGCGGGAGCGGGAGCGGGAGCTCGCGGGGAGCCAGAGCCAGAGCAATCTGCACCCGTACGTGACGGCGTTCACGTCGCCGATCGGTGGGTGTTTTTGGTTGGTGTGCGGGGGCGTGGGTGGCTGATGTGCGGTTGGGCTTTAGATTTGCCGGATACGGAGGCGCCGGATGATGGGCTTCCGCGGGCGATATAACCCAGCCCCTCCGCGTCCTTGTCCCCCGCTACTACTCGATGCATTATCTACGCCCATGTTACGCGTTCGACTCCCATCTTACCACTCCACCCCACCCTAGCCTACCCTATCCCCGCACCGCACCGCATATAATGTACATACCGTCACGTCGGGATCCGGATCGGAATGCTGTCTTGTTGTATTGCTGTATGCTTTGTGAATGTACTGTAGTTACGTGTATATTAGGATTGGTGCTCTGGGATCTGGACGTCGGACTATGATGGTGTGGCCATGACGTCGGGAAGAGCCGGGATGCGGTGCTTCTGCAGCTGCTCGTCCACGACGTTGCAATTCCGGCGGGTTCTTTTTGTGCTGCCACAGCCGCTCGAGGAACTTCATATAGATGTATATGTTTTGAACTCGGGCTATCTGGTGCGGTCACCCTTTTCCGACAGTGCCTGAGTGATTCTGCACGGAATCTACTGAATTGGCAAGCTACCCATCTCGAGCTAGGGATTATCAAGATGGATACGGAGGCCTGTTACTTACAATTAATGCTTTTCGGATTTGACGTCTGACGCTCCTGTTGTGGGCTATAACGTGAATGCTACGTGCCTGCCGGGGAACACTCGCTTTATGCTACGGAAGCCAAAGTCCTTGTATCTCCTTTATGATCAAAGTTGCATGTACAGCTCTGGAACGCATGCACTCAGTCGATACGCAGCAGGTACCGACTCGGATGTTCGAGCACAAGGTTGGGGCCGCTTCTCTCGCAGCGGCTCATATCGTCCATGATCATGCACGAGGTTCACGGAGTACTTGAGACTTGAGGCCTGAAGATTCGTGTGACCTGCGAGACGCACCCGTCCACTCTCCGGCACATTCCAATAACAGAAGATGAACTTTGAAACGTCGAACATATCAAGGACGGTTCTGGTCACAAGCTGCCCATGGAGCTCCTAGAACCCGTAAGTCTTACCATATCGCCTGCTTATGGCTGCTACCTTCTGAATCTGTCTTGCTCGATTGACTCCATTCTTTGATGTTCCGCGGCTGCTAACATAGTGAGCTGCCTTCACTCCGAATTTACCCTTGAAATTGACTGATGACGCGCGTTACCCGGCCAGTATTCCGGTGAGCGGCAAAGAGGCACCTCTCCGCTGCTCGGTCGTTAACCCTCGTCTCCCGCACCGCGCATATATGGGTCAATCCCATCCTCTACGAGTCGGTGACACTCAGCTCCTTCAAGAAAATCAAGCTTTTCAATCGCACCGTTAAGGAAGAGCGACGGTCGCGAGTCCTCGCCGGAGCTGTGCGCAAGCTGTGCATTGGGCCCGCAGATTACCCCAGTTCGCAAGGCCCGGACAACTTCCATAGGGCATCGAGAGCTTACATAATGTCTTACATTCATTCTATCCTGCGGTTATGCACCTCGGTGAAGGATATCGCGCTCTGTGGCTGCTTCCGCACGGAATACGTGGAAGAGTTAACCGCCGCCATGCCAGTCAGCCTTGAGCGTCTATGGCCGGCATACTCTTTACACCACTTCGCAGGTTCCATCATCAACGGTGCCTCCGCAAAAGAAATCCTGTTTGCGGACTGGGGACACGAAAAGACAGCTGTTTGGTCGTATATGCGGGAGTGCTGGTACGAGACGCTGCGACGATTGTACAGACACTGGGATGCTTTCGAGCGCGCCATACGGCGTGAATTGGACACGGCACCGACAGCCACGCTGGAGGAGATAGGAGTTCACTATGCGGAAGAGCCTTCAGAAGCAGACTTGGTGGCCCGTGCTGTGCCTTGCAAATATCGGAGGCCGACCTACAATCCCAGATATACTCAGGTGGATGAATGGGTGTATCGACCTATACCGCCTGGTGGAGACAGGTTGGCAATCTTGCACGCAGAATGGGAACACGAGCATGATGTACGTCCCTTCTGACATTGCCTGGACAGTTGTGACAGCGTCTCACTCGTCGCTATCCATAGAACGTCGCGGTTGGCAGTGTTAAGGCATATGATTTTCGCTCGCAGTGCCGGTTAGGTCCTAAGTTTCTGTAGTACGACTCGGTCTTGTACATACAGGTTGCGCACGCCAGACTTCGATTGTGTAAGGAAAGGAAGCTAGTGATCCGTGGCAGACACTGCGGCTACCATTCGGAGCTCATGTGTACGCCCGGAATGACTCATAGTTTCTAAAGCATTCGAGTGTGCCTAGTCAATGATCACCAGTGCGGTATGTCGTAACTCAGATCTTCAGGTCTGCAAGCTCACTGATGCTATTTTAAATTATGTTCCGCCAGCAGCCACCAGCGAAGGCGACATGAAGTGAGCCAGCTCCAGGTTTGTGGTGCTGGATATCATCGATTTTCGCATGGCAACAACACGATAGTGAAGTAGAGTGATGCTGAAATCGTCCGGAGAAGCACTCTGGACCTCGGCGCGACTCACATAATGAAGTACACAAGTAACGTGTGGCATGCCGGGATCCATATCGGTGATTTCGGGTTCAGATAGCCGCAGAAACTTCTCTACAGCCAAAGACATACAATGGCGCGATCTCTTGGAGGATGAGGTGGCCTGTGAAACCTTAGCCTTCCGCTGTGCTCAGGGCACAAGATGCGCTTCACCTGGTAGGATCATGCGAACGGGTGCGTCTTCTTTGCAGTGGTCTTCCGTTCCGCTGATGAGTTTGACAGATGAGAAGCTCAGGGCTGTGTTCAGACCTGTACTTCGCCCACGTTCCCTTCCGTTATCGATTCGTACAGCTGTCATGGGAAAGGCACCCCTCTCCTGCCTACGCAGCTCTCTGCGAACCACCAGGAGAGTCCAATCGACCTCGCTCTTGAGTATTCAGTCCGCTGGTCTATCCTCCGCGCTCATTTCGATCAGGAAAACGGAGCAAACTGGCAAAGGGGATGTTGTCACTCGCCCGAAGGACTATCGCTTTCTCCTCGTCTCGTAATACTTCGGCTGCTGGATCTGGCCGTCCTGACGATGGTCATCTGTCGCCGTCGGGCGCGCCTACCCTGGCGGCACGAAAGTCTCGTAATCGGGTGTTTTCAGGACTGAGGGGCCTCTTCATCGAACCTGCGAAGCGGAGGTCCAATGCCTGCAAGGAGCGGCCCCCAAGCTCTACCAAGCAGCCGGGCCACGCAGCCTTCCCTTCCCGCGCCCATGGAAAATACATCGCCTAGCATCGTTGACGAGTTGAGACAGCCAATGGAGTTTGATATTTCCACGTCGACTTTGAAGCAGGTCGCGAGCAGTCTTAGTGATACAGCGGAGTCTCTGGAGCAGTTTCCGTTTCTGAAGACAATAGGCGGCTTGATGGGCCAGGTGATCAGTATTATCGCCGTGAGTATGTCTATCGTCGAAGGTTCAGCGAACTCATGAACTCAGGATATGAGAGGGAATAGCGAAGAATGGGAGCGTCTTGGCAAATGGTCTCAGGAGATTCTTCGCTCCCTGCATACGAAGTTGGAGAACTCGGCAGACTCGCTGGATGACAGTATAAGGCAAAGCTTCGAGAATGCAATCAGGTACGCCCTACTTCCTTCTACCACTCCAGTGAACCCATAATCCTTCCCAGGACCAGCAAGCAGCTTGTAGATTGTGCACGATCGGAACAAGCCAGGGGCTTAGCGTTGCAAGTCCTGAGTCACGAGACAGATAAGGATCTCCAAGCCTCGTTTCGACAAGTATTGGATGGCATGTTTGATACTCTTCAGGTGAGTGATTCTTCTTTCTGAAATGACCTGCCGCAATGGTTCTCCCACCTTACAGTTGGATCTCGCGTCCACCATCATGGTTAAGACAGCCCAGATTGATAGGAAAGTCGGTAATATACATGATAGTCATGGTACGGTGCTACTTCAAGATGGTCCCCTCGTCGTGCACGTCATCTGATTTTTCCAATGCTAGAACTGGAGAGATTGGAAAAACATACAGTGCGGGGCGCTGAATGGTCATATAACCTTGGCTGTCTTCCTGGTACAAGAGAGCATATCCTAGCCGAAATACGCGAATGGATACAAGAACCACTTGCTATGTCCGACTCGCCGCCCATTGGTTATCTATGCGGTATCGCTGGCTTAAAGAAGACGTCAATTTCTCATAGCATCAGCCAGTGGCTTCATGACGAAGGTCTTCTGGGTGCAGGTTTCTTCTTCTCTCGGGACGACCCTTCCGGGAGGCGTTACGGGCTGGATGATGTCTTCCTGGCCATTGCCTATAATCTGGCTAATAACTACCAAGCATACGGGCAGCAGTTAGGCCTTTCCCTTGCAGGCTCAATCCCGGCCACACCAGATCAACAATTCAGACCTAATCATGGATCCACTCTTACGAGCTCCGGCTCCGTCTCGCCCGTTTGTCATTGTTGTTGACGCTTGGGATGAATGTTCAAAATCCAAAGACTTTATGGACCTCTTGGGCAGAGGAATAGAGGTGCTGTCTTCGCGGATTCGGCTGTTCCTCACCAGTAGGCCAAATAACGGAATCGAAGCATTCCTGGGGAGACATCCCGTGCGGTCTTTTCGGATAGATCAGCAGGGACAGGAAAATACCACGGACATCACGCGGTACCTTTTCGTTCGAGCTCTCTTCGCTGGTGTACGAACACAATAAGACGGGAACATGGCCGGGACGAAACATTACGCAGCGCCTTGTGGAGGATGCGGGTGGACTATCTGGGCCTCCAAATTCCTTTCGGATTCTCCCAATGTTGACGCTGATATGAATGTCTTAAATAACCTGAATCTGGAATTCAAGGACATTGATGATCCAGAGACAGCGTTGAACACCATGTACTTCGCCTTACTCTCGCAGGCCTACGACTCCCTTCCCCGCCGGCGACTGAAGGAAGTGTTCAGCGCAGTCCTGACTTGATAATTTTGGCCCACTCCAGCGAGACCGCGGGACGGGGTTTTAGTATGCCCTTTGCCCACTTTCACGTCCACGTTGAAAGGTCGTCTGAATCTGCGGCTAGTCTGATCAGGAGCTTTAACAACTTCTTTGATCATGACTTCTTTCATTGGGCTGTTTTGTTTCCTCTGCAATCCAGCTGCTCGGCCCCAACGACACCATGGAGCATTTGCCTTGGAGACCAGACTGCCACATCGACTCGTAGAAATGATCCGAGAGGCCTACAGGTTTACGTGGCAAATGCAATATGTGACTCGCTTTAATGCATGGATGATATACGGCGCTATCCTGAGCTGCCATCCAGACAGCTTACTCCGCCGTAGCTTTGTTCGAACACACGGGCAGGAATGGATCGCAGAAGTGAGCTACATCAAAACTGCTGGCCAATCGGGCGGGTTGGTGGATATAGCACTCAGAAACCACAAGCAAGAAAATGAGGTGCACGTATTCTCGGTCATGCTTACAACAAGCAATTGTTCGAGGTAAGCCATCCTAACTCGTCGTCATAGGATCATCCCCGACCAGGCTGCCGCTAGGGATTTCAGGGGGCATCAGCTGGAGGATTCCGTGAAATCAACTTCCCCGACCGCCACTGTAGGAAAACGTCAGTACAGTATGTAGCTATCACACACCGGGGCTAAGTGAACCCTCGTCGTATTGCGAACAGATACACGAGTACAGGAGTATTCCTTAGAGTAGAAGGTAGTAGTTGTCTGCCAAGCTACGTATATCCAAACTTCCTTCTAAGTCGCGTCGCGACCAAACATACTCAAACACGCGCCACATGGGCGCTTCCCCTTACATCCTCCCCTCTTAGAGCGAGGGCACGGTAATCACTGGGGCCGAAGAGACAATCATATTCAACGAGTGTAGAGGTTGGGTATAATAGCACTAGGTGCTTGAATATTAC